TGTATTTTAATTCCAGTTTGGGATAAAGGCAGACTGCCATTTTTACTGTGCTTTTGACAGCTGTAAATTTGTCATACTTTGCAAGTAAATCCTTTTTTTTTTTTTTTTAAGGAAAATTTGCTTCAAAATAAAACTTAAAAAAAATTATTCTGAAGTTAGTCATTAAAATTTTCAAAGCATCATAATGTAAATAGATTCAAACTATTTGTATAATCTATATGCTAATTTGGCTCCATGGCATATATTGTAATTATTAAATTATGGCATTTAGTGGAATTAGCTTGAGCACAATTTGTCTATTTTAAAAGCATGTGCCCGTCTTGAAGGCTTGCTGAAGCATAGCTGGAGTGGCTTTGAAGCAGACTGCTTGCAAAATAACTCACTCTTTAATGTATGGAAGGGTAACCTTAGCTAACTGCTAGCAGTGTAGCACAGCCCAGGCACGCACTACGTGGAAGTTGTTGCACTGAAGACAGAGATAAAACTGCTTCCTGCATTTAGGGATTGGCACTGGAACAGGCTGCCCAGGGAGGTGGTGGAGTCTCCTTCTCTGGAGATGTTCAAGACCTGCCTGGATGCCTACCTGTGCGACCTGCTGTAGGGAACCTGCTTTGGCAGGGGGGTTGGACTCGATGATCTCTGGAGGTCCCTTCCAACCCGTACAATTCTGTGATTGTGATCAGTATATGTTAGAAATTTATTTTTTCTCCACAGGAATTGAAATGCTCAAGACATGTTTACTAGGTCATGTAGCAGGGAAGAAAACGTGGTCCAATAATGAAAAAGGAGAACATTCTGTTGTAGTTCTGCAAGAAGCTGGCACAGCTTGGATGCACATCTGAAGCTGAAGGGAACTATGGAGCCAGGCCACAACTCCATGGTCCCCCATTCCAGGACAAAACTGTGTGACAGAAGAAAGGTCTTTACATGGTTCTGAAAGTTTTGAGAGGTGAATTTGAATGAGGAAGGGGAAGAGGATCTACAAACTGTAGGCTAAACAGAATAATGAACAATGTCTCAGCTGTATGAGCGTTGCCCTCTCTGCTTGTTCAGGTCTGGGAAGCCAGCAGAAATGTTACCCTTGCCTTTGGTGGGAAAAGAGTGAATCCCCCTTTACAGCTCTTGAACTTCCACTCAAAAATATCTGGCAAATAAAACACTGAAAACAATTTAAGCTGATACAGCTTCAGAATAAGAAGAAGAAATAAGAACAAGTACAGAATAGAAGAGAAGGTGCCTAAAATTTGGTTTTATACACCAAGGCTATGATCTTGTAAGTATGGGGTCTTACATTTTCCTCTCTAATTGGTTTTCTTTTGCTTTTTTAAAAATATTATTGCTGTTAAAGGAGGTGTGATGGTCAGTTTTGTCCAGGTGTGTTGGCTTTGCAGTGAACCTTTCAAAGGGTTTACACTAACTCTCCTATAAGAATGGCCAGATCTGGGAAGGCTCTTTGCTGGAGTCTACTATGGACACTGAGGCAATATGGAGAAAAAAAACAACTTGATCTTTTTGCATTGGGAAGCAGCTACAACTGGCTGTCTCCTTCTGTTCAAAAATGTTTTTATCCTTGTTTACTTGCTTCATCTAAAAGGATATAAAAGACGTTGCCTTTTATTTCACTAGAGGCAGTAATTTATTTCTATATGTATTTTTGAGCCTGTTTGCTATGAAGTTTAACTACAATTCTTCTTCCTAAACTGCTTCTTATGGAGGCTTAGAAAGCAGAGGAATTGTTGCTTGGGCTCTGCTGAGGAGAGAGTGGGCTTTAACAGTGAGAATTCTGAAACTTCAGATTTTTGTTAAAGGGAAAAGAGATCTTTTTATATTTTTTTAATATTCTTTTGTAGCTTATGTAGTAGCAGTTACTCTGCTTCTGCTGTAGTTCTAAGAGGGGCACACAATTTATGGGCTTAGCCTGCATTTTCAAAGTCAGGTCCAAGGAAAAGAATGGCAAAATTCTTTGTATTTCATTTTCATCTGTTACTCTCTTTCTCTTTGAAGTGACCTGTGGGCAACAAGCTTCATACATCCTCTGTAAGAAATTAAAAACAAACCTAGTTTTTCAAGCAAAGAAATGTCAGCTGTTGTCAAAAGTTATCTGCATCTGTTGATTCTAATCTAGTGTTCGTGGTAATGCCATAAATTGTTTTTGAAATAGCAGTATTAGAAAATAAAATGAGTGAATTATTGCCAGCACATTCTGCATGTTTTAACTAGCACAAAGCTGCAGAGTCTTTTGTGTTGTTAGTAGGATCTTTCTGTTAGCATCAAGAACAACATGGACTGACAAAATTCTCTGAAGCACAGACTTTATGTTATCAGAGCAGAGTACATTATCAAGGTAACAGAACAAAAGGAAGATGTTTGTAAAGCTATTTGAAATCACAAATGATTTTTCTTTCAATGTTCACACTTAGCCTTGCTATCTTTTTGGGAAAAGACAACGACTCAGTCTGTGAAAGCCATATTGGGTCAACAAATTGCCTGCCATGTCTTTATGACAGCCAGACTGATTGTTTGTAGGCTGCTTTTAGCTGTAGCCTCATGGTCCATTATTTCCTTAACTCTCTCCTTCCTTCTGTATACAGGTGTAATATTTGTGTATAAATACAAAGAAAAAAACCACAACCACTCACCCCACTCCCTGCACACAAAGCAAGACAAATACTCACTAAGTAAACAGCCATTATTGTTATTTTTGTAGCTTCTGAGATCTGTTTGTGTAAAATAATTATTTCTTGAAGAGTATAAAGTATGAGGAAACTATAATGGCTCCCTAGTTGCTGGCTCCTTTTGGAGCACTGCCTCCCTCACCAGTTCTGGAAGTTGTCCCAGTCTCCAAAAGGGTACAGTACAACACTGCTCCAGAAGTATTTTCCAGTTTTGCTCTACGTTAAGGCTATTGCCCTTCAAAACACTTTAATTTACATTATGTTCTTGAATTAGTCCTGTCAAATCACTTTGCAATAAATAAACCTAGAAAAAATACTCAATTTCACAATGCATTTGGGTTTCATACTTTATAAAAGAAAGCCACTGTTAAGAAAGGGTAAGTGACTGCTTTCTGTAATTTTGCTTTGCTGTACTGATGAATGTGGGGTTTTTTTTGTGTTTTTCTTTCTTTCTGATAGAGATCAGGAGACTGTTGTTCATAATGATGGAAGTTAATGAGAAATTTCAGACTGTAGTAACATCACAGTGTGGGAGGAACTGTTTTGAAAGCTAATCATGCTGAATTTCCTGGAGGCAGCACCTAAAGGTAAGACAAAATGAGAGAATCTTTCTTAGCATATAACCTTGTCAGAAGACATGCCAAATATATCACTACTACTTGAAGAAGCAGGTAGGTCATACTAAGTACAGAAAAGCTGACAGTTTTGCTTCCATTTGGATGGAAATAGGACGGAAGTAGGAAAAGTCTTTTGAAATTGTGAGCTGATCCATACTGAAAATTTCCAGACAGATAAATGCAGAGAAATGCTTTATCTCCTCCACAAATATATTGAGCAGGCTTCACTTCCTATGTTTCATGCTGTGGTCATCATCATGCGCAAGAACTAGGCTCTGATTTATACCACTCTCAAACATTGCTACTGCCCTCTGGTGTGACCTGTATTAGCAATGCTTTCCTAATCCCTGTATTTCCCTATACTGGGTTCATAAGTCATCTCCATGAGCATTCAGTTAGGCATATTAAGGAAACAACTCCATGTTGGGGAAATGGCGTCTCCAAGTAGAATAACCATGTAATATTTACTGAGCTCAATCTCACCTTTCTGTTTGTCAAATGCTTAGATGCCTATACAGTTAAAGTGTTAACAGTTGCATAAGCAAAGGACAATATTTGATATGATTTTCAACAAATTTGGAAACCGGGTAAGGCAGTGAAATTGCAGTTGTGTAGTGAGCAGCATGATCTGTAAACTCTTTGTGTTGCTGTTCAGCTCAGCTTAGTTTCCCAGTGTTACACACCAATTGGTCCAGCCTAGCTGCATCAGTTGAGAATCAGTACTACATTTCATTACTGCTCACATTGATTCAGCACAGAATGGTCCCTCTAAGACCTTGCAGTGCTGTGCAGGCTGTGAGGCAGTGTCCAGGAGACTGCTTTTTCCCAGATTCTGCTCGTGTCTGAAACTTCCTGCAGGGAAAGAGGCATGAACTCCAAAATTAGGAGCTGACCCCATCAATTACTGAGACAGAATCATACTGAACCAGGATAGAATATGGGCAAGTGTCAGATTTTGATATGACAATACACAAGTATTTTTATTTTTAGTCCATATGCATTTTCAGCATTGAGGATTACCAGTGAAAGCAGTTGTGAGTGGTGGTGCTGGACTTGGTGTAAAAGCCACTTAACTTTTATTGAAGTAAAATCTGAGAACTGAAATAATGCTCAACTTTTGTGTTAAACTTGAAGACTAAACATTTGGGTTTGCCCCATCATCAGTACTCATAAAGGAAAGTTAGAAAATGTGATATGGAGATACAGCCAACCTATCAGGGAATGCATTAGTACTGCCAATGTGTATCTATGTTTGACATTCTGGTAGGTACTACTTCGGTATACTATTCAATATTCATCTGTTTTGATCTCTGAATGTCTTTTAAAATCAAAAGAATGCATGCTGATGGTAATTAGCTTGAACAAATACTCTAACCGTAGAATTAATTAACACAATTCAGTCCATTTGGATTTGTTTCTTCAGGGACTGAAAGTATTTTTGACTGCACTAAGATCAGTTGAATCAAGAAAAAAAAAAAAAAAGAATCCTAACATAGAATCAGCTTTGATTACATTTCAAGTTGGGTGAAGTTAAATAAATATATCAATGGAGTAAAATTTGTGGCCATGGATAAAATTTTGTCTTACTGGATCTGATTTTCTTTCATTTCAGACCAGATCGTTAAGAAAAAGATTCAAATGAGCTCTTGGTTTCAAATCCTGACCTTAATTTTGTCCCCCAAACATGTAACTTACCTCATTTTATGTCCTATATCCTACATTCTCTTGTCCAATGTTGTATGAGGACTGGGGAGACCAAGTGAGTAAATCTCTCTAGTGGACAGCGAAAACTGCAGCCGGGGAGAGTGAGAGGGTGGGGATCTCTCAAAGTATTATTCCGATAGTACATTTCTATGGTGTATTGCCTGCTTAAAAATACAGAATTATCAAAATGAAGTTAGGTGTGTGAAACCACAGAGATCTTCCATGTTGTAGTGGTTGTACTCTGGGATGAAACTTATTTGTCTTGCTAATAATATGTATCGTTAATACTCTGAAGAGATCTTCTTAAACAATAAATGGGTAGTATAATATGCATGTAGACTATCTTACTGATAGAGAGTTGAGGAGCTAAACAGATAAAGAGGGTAGATTAAAGCCCTCAACCGAAATGGAACAATAGAGAAAGATCTTAGCCTGCAATGATGTGGTTCTGCTGCTGTCAATAATTACTAAATTGAGTCTAATTATAATAATTAAAATCAATCTATGATCTTTTTCTGTGTGGTGAACCCTGTGTATCCAGTCTAGTTAGTTTGGGGTAGCAACACATTTCTTTAGGCAAAATAAGTATATACTAGCAGTACAGCTTGCAGATACTTGCCCATTTTTTTCCTCATAGAGTTCAAAGAAATGACAAGCACTGTAAGGAGGCAATTTCCCATTGAAAACATGGAGTGCCATCTGTAAGGCAACAATAGTGGTTGCATGCTGTAAATAGAAAAACAAAAACAAAAACAAACCACCATTAAAGTCCTACTGAAAATCACTGCACGTAACTATTACTTGAGAATAAGTCCAGTACATTATCTGTACACTTAATATTACTTATGTAACTTCATTAATACTTGCCCTCTGCAGTGATTAACAAGCACTGTCCCCTTCTGGCTGTACCAGCTGAAATGCTGCATGTGTGACGTATACAGATTTCAATATTAAGAAGTATTAGGCATCTGTAGGTCTTACTGAAGTTAGGAGTTGTGAAAACTTCTTTTAATAAAAACTGGTGATTTTTCTTGTGAAGTTAACAGAATTTGAAATCTGAAAGGTATTTGGGTGATGTATATATTATACAGCTCATGATCAGATTGCAATTTAGGAATAGAAGCTTTTTACTCAGAGCAGTCTCAGAATTTCATTTCCCTATGAGAGTGTCTGCACATTCTAAACAATAACGTAAGGTCACCACTGAGTAACTGCTTTCAGAATACCTTCAAAAATAAGAAACCTTAACTTTTTTTTTTCTTTTTTTTTCACTTTTACATCTGAAAAAGACACAGGAAGCAGGAGGTATGTTTCTGTATTATCTTTGTTTTTTTCACTTCTCTGCTGAATCAAAACAATAAGGTTCTGAAATAAGCTATGCCATCAGGTGGAAAATGGAGGTTGCAAAATAGTCTCCTTTCATTACAGATGAAAACAACCCAGTGGTATCTAACGTTAACCAAATAAAAGTGCTTGTATCTGTATTTCATGCAGGAAATGAAGCAGCATGGCTTTCTTTGTATTTAATAACTGCAGAAAGAGAACTTAAAAAAAAAAAAGGACTCACCGCAGAATATATAATCATTTTTTGATGGTGTGAAGGCTTTCTAGCATCTGACATATGCTTTAGGATAGTTTTTAAAAGAAGACCTGAAAGAAAATAAATAAGCACCAACAATGACTGAGATGCTTGTGTTAATGTTTGTATAATTTTGTAATATTTGAACATAATCTTTCTTTAACTGCATCAGAGTTATTCTATTCAGTTTAGAGAATTTGTGCAGAATGCCCTGGTGTTATTTTTTAACTGAGCAGTGAATCTGAATCTGTGTAAAATGTTTCTGGGACCCCTAATAGCTTCTACAGCAATTACATTAGCATAAAATTGGAATCTTCCAGGAGTCAAAATTCTACAAAAGAGAAGTATATATGCTAGCAGAATGAAACATACCTGTTATCTTCGTCTACTGGCATACCTTCTAATAGCAATTGGTAGCAAAGCAAGAGGAGAGGTTTTAATTTCATGCTTAGTTTTGTATGTTGGAGCTCCAAAAAGGCAAATAAATTAATCCTTGCTTATAGGTGAGTGTATGTGTATATGTGAGCTACAGTATGTCCCTGTAGCTCACAGAACCTGATTGTAGAGTGGCAATATAAAGCAAAAATGAGGCCAAAAGGTTGACAGTGGACGAACGGAAAACAAATAAGTGATTAAAAAGGTTTTAACTATCTTAAAATTTCAGCAACTATTTGCTGAACAGAATAATAAAGCCCAGAATACTCTCATTCTAGTATACCCAGTAATGGAAAAGGAAGACTTAGGAAGCAAAGTTACCATTCTAGAGATTATTACAGATAATATTTTGAAAGTTAAGCATGCTGGCTTATGTTAAATTCAGAGTTGATTCAGTTCAGCAGAATCGGTATATTACTTTGAGTTTCTTATACAGTATAACCAGAGTGATCGCTTCAGTTTAATCTTGAATTAGGATGTTTGTGATTCACATCCTTACCACTTCTCTTCTCATTAATCACAATCCTTTAGTACCAATTGCGAATATCTGCGTCATAGCATCTTTTATAGCTATGTTTATTACACGTTTTCTTCTTTCCCATTGTACTATTGATTTTAAATGGGGTTAGAATTTTGCTTACCTCCCTGCAAACGTGATTTCTGTATTTGTTTGTGGAACCCAAATTCTGCCTGCAGTAACAACTCTGAGAGCTTTATCAGCTTGGTCCTGACACCATGAGTAGCCCAAGCAGGTAAAGTGTAATTGTTAATATCCTACAGTGAAGAAAGAAAACATGATGATTTTCTTGTTGGTTCCCACTGCTAACTTTTTTTTTATTATTATTATTTTGGTACAACATGCATATTGGAACAGATTCTGAATGTTTTTTCTCAAATAATGTTTTTCAGTATTTTGCATTTAAACAGCTGAGAATTCTTATTTCGACATCCCGCTGCTTAAAACAAATCTGAAGGGCAGTGTTCAACAAAAGGAGGAAATATAATACTGAAAACTATTACATAAAAAGCAAATGGCACTATTTATGCCAATTGATAATGTAGTTGTAGGTTGCAAAAATTTCACCCCGTGACTCTTCTTCAACCATCTACTGGAATATATCCCAAAATCTTTACTGAAACAAATGCCATAGGGATATCAAGATTTAAGACTTGGCACTTTTGGACCAAGACCCATCAATTAAGTAAGAACATATATAGCTGTAATTTGGATGTAGTGGAGAATGATGTATGTCTATGGAGTTTAGAATACCTACTTATTCCAGCTGTGCTGGCTGCTGATGCAGTCCTCTAGCTAGAATAGAATGGATTCATTTTTTGTTTTGGGAAACAACCCAAGAGAAATTAATGGTGGCAATTGTAAGAAGGAAATATGTGCCAGCACTCCTGGTTTCTACTGCTCTGAATTCCAGCTTAAAGTTGGCATTTTTCCTTTATTTCTTGTCAATGTGAGTCAGAGGGCTGAGCTCACCAGGTGGAGCCAACTACTTAACTTAGGATTTATTTAGATAAGTGAAACGTGTTAGGTCACTTTTTCTTTTAACAGGTCACTTTTTCTTTTAACAAATGTGATCTGTGCCTTGAGAAAAAAAAATTGCCTGCTTCCATGCTATTTAAGACAATGCTGCTGGCAAGCAAGCACCTCAGTCTACAAGTCAGATGACACTTAGCCAATAATAACAAATACAGAGATGTATGCTACTGAAGTTTCATTAATTTTGTTTAAAAAAAAAAAAGTGAAAAAGCTGTCTTTATACACTTGAGAGGGCAAAAGTGACTTTTGTGGCAGATGTCTTAATTTGTATCTCAGACGTCTTCACTGAGTAATATGAAAGCCCAAGGCTCAATCAATCTAACTCTAGAAGTAATAACCCAACTAACTGGTTTTGCCTTCCAGCAGTCAGGAAGCTCGCTGATGGGATCTGCCAATTCTTCACATTGCTGTGGTGGCGTGGGTTTCTCAGTATGATGTAACAATTGACATTAAATGCTGTGGTCCTGAACTGTCCTGAATTTGGGCAATATGAAAAGGTGACCTCATTGAAATTACAGTGCTCAAAATGCATTCATTTAACTCAGGCCCTGGCTAGCAATGCAGTCAACTTCACTGATCAGAGTTGGACCTCCAGAAACTGCAGGGCAGAAGGCAAACTCATTAGCATCACACCCAAGTAGCATGTGTTGGCTGTGGAACACATCTTAAAACTGCTTCAGTTTCCCAGAAGCTATCCTACTGTTGATGACCAATTTATTATTAATATTTGAATTTTAAAGTAATTATGCTGTAAAGCAGTTCATAGCAAGCTCTGCCTGCAACAATATCAAGGATATTTTAAATACAAGACTACCTGCAATTTTTACTTGCTTCAGCTGGTATAACTCAAGACAGAAGTGGCACAAAGTGGGGCTGGTTGCTAAATTAAGAGCATTCAAGGTTTTTTTCACATCCCTGTCAGAGATACTATTCTGTGAGTCCCATATACCTGTAACAGTTGGGTACCAGAACACCCCTTTTGTTGTAAAAGCTGTGCTTCTGTGTGATGTGCATGGTCCATTTGCTTGAACAAGGCTCCCAAGGTTTGCACAAATAATCTTTTGTGTCATTTCAGTAGCTACTTAATTCCTGAAAATGACCATTATGGCCTACATGCAGCTTGGGCCTTATCATACAAATTGCATAAAATCTTTGTGGAGGCATGTTTTTGTTGTCTTTGCCAAAAACAAGTTTTACACCCATGCATCTTTGTGATGGGGTTTGGAGGAGTAACAAGACAATTTTACCCAAAAGTATGCTTTTGCTTAAGTGTGCATGTGCAATCACTAATGAGGTGTTGCATTTGTAGGCCATTGGTTTGTGTTTGTTACGGTGGTGGATGACCAAGAGCATCCTCACACAGTCACAGCTGGATATTCAGCTGTGAATTTGATGTAAGATAAGTGTTCTGAGGAAGGAGCTGAAAATAATCCGTGGCTCAAAAGAATTGGAAATACAGAGTTACCTTATTCTGAGTTTTTTCAAACCATAGAAATAAAAGCTAAGACTGGTTTTGATAATGTGTAAGTGTTTATATTGGACCTTGGAAATTTTCTTTGTATTATTTACCTCATATTGTAAAGTGTCAGAGATCCTCAAAATTTTTTCACTGTTCAATTTCTTCAGTGGGTATCCAGTGTGAGAGGCTAAAAACTTGAGAAAAGACTGGAATACAAAAAAGGAAACTTGTTGCACACTTTTTACATTGTTTTTACACACTTCCATAATACACAGTAATTTTTAGAAACAACATAGTCTTTGCATTTGGTGTCTAAGCACTGTACTGTTGTTTGGTGGGACTCACGGCAGGCAGTTACTACCTGTTCAAGTGGATCCTTTTTCATCCTGCAAGCTCCACATGTTTTCATAATCATCTGGCAGACACAAAATCAATGCTTGCACAAAAATTTATTAAGAGCTTGTGAAACCTGGCTGTCATCCTATGTTTTAGCTATGGCCTCCCTCCCACTTCTACATCTCAGGTACAGGGATATATATGTTTCATGTTGCTTCTTGAGTTGTCAAACACATGGTTTCTTCATTCCTACCTTGGACCTGTCTTAATTACAATCCCATCTACTATTGTAGTGCTAAAGACACCTACTGATCTCAGTGATCTAGACATAGGATCACATGGTAATGCTGGAGAGATTATGATATTGATCAATGAAAGAGGTTACATAAATCAGGAAAACTTAAATATGCTAATTTATACCACTAGTTTTTATTAGGGAAGAAAAGAAATAAAAGTTTTCTTTTAGGCTGAAAAGGGAATACAGCCTATTCATCTAAAATAAGGATGGTAATCTGAGTCTAAGTTTAAAGTACAGAAATAGTTTATGCTTGGTGGGAATGTTCAGAAGTGGGTAGAATGGATCCAGATATATGAAAAAGTCTTGCAGAATCCAAGAAATATTCAATAGAAGTGTGATAAACAGAGTTATTCCAACATTGATAATGAGTAGCAGAGAGGTCTAAAACAGGGAATTATGATTCACATGACTCTAACACCTAGATGCAGAGGTAGATGGCTGTTTAGGTGATTAAAGATTATAAGAGAACAGGTGAATATGATAATTCCATTTTGATTAAACCCACAAAGAAGAAATTCGCAGTAGAATATGAGAGTGATTACATACTCATGGCAAGTAATCTGATGTCGGTGAAAGAAATGAAGGGATATATTACAGATGCAGGAATGTGAGTATCTGAATGAAGCCATTAGGCGTGAGGCATGAGAAGGTAATGAGGAAAACATTGGGACTATTATAAAAAAACTGTGTAACTGAGCAGAGAAAATTCTGTGGTAGTATCTGAACTAGCAAGGAGTTATACAGTCAGAAACACCTGAGCAGTTGCTAACATGAAACTGAATAAGGATAATTGTTGAAGTGAGGCACTGATCTGATCTGAGGTTTTGTTTTCTGTGCTCTACTAGAAGGAAGGTAGATGTAATGTTTTCTTTTTGAAGATAGTCCATCATTTATCTTTTCTATGACTTGCAGTTTTCAGTTGGTGGGGATGGTTCAATCTAGGTGGCTCATAATATTGTAATTGTAGTTTGGATATGTCGTATACACCCACTTTGAAGATTACATATCTGGAAGGAGCATTCTGATTGCCATTTTTTAACATACTTGTTAGATAACTTTACCAAAAGTAGTACATTTTAAATTGAAGATATCAGAAATTAAAATACTTTACCCTGTACTGCTTGAGCTGCTTCTGGAAATCTCTTGTTGCAAAAGTTTCTCTCAGAAGCTCATTGTATTTTGGGCAGTGTGAGAAAGGTACATATAGCAACTGAAAATGAAATTGCAAAATATTAGTTAGGCAAGATTCCTCTTGTTCTTGTTCAATATAGCCTTGTAAGACTGTTGTCCTGAGTGGCTGCACTAATTAAAACAAGCTGCAAAATTATTTGGGAGTGTTCTTTTCTTGGATATTCATCTAAGGACCATAAGAGTCATATTGATGACTACTTAGAAAATAATCTTTACATATTTAGAGGAGTAGTAGGTTCAGCAGATCAAAGTTAAAGGAGTCATTTACAGAAGACTGGATTTGTCACTTGACGGAAGAATAACACAAGCCCTCATGTACTGCTTTGTGCTTGGCTTCCCCAGAGATGATTTCACTCACTGTGTTCAGTCTTTCTTTAAACATACTGTCACCTTTCTACTATGAATTACCATGCAGCAGGTGGACAGCAGTAAGTCTTTGTGCATACTCAGCTGTACTCAGTAGACTTAACACAGTTCCATTTACTTCAGCTAAATCAAAGAAACTGGCTAAATTTCTATAACTCATCTTTTCTTTGACAATGAGATATCCTTAGTGTTTCGGTTTTTTTTTTTTTTTTTTTTTTTCTTTCTAATATGCTCTTTGTCCTTTTTCCAGAAAGGAATCTCTATTTATATAACCGGGCAGTTAAAAGAGCTTTTAAAAAGAACTTGGGAGTCTTAAAGGGATAATTAACTGAGATAGCTTCGGAGCAGTTCCTCAGTCTTTTTAGAAACATAATCTCTTCCAGATGGTAAGAAAGAATTTCTGAATTATAACCGTAGTCCATGAACAGACATAGCTTTACCAATGAATAAATGATGGACATTTGGGTAGAAGTGGGTAGAAGGATATATATGGTCTCAATCTTACATGTATATACAGCAAAAATTAATACAGTCAAAAGACAAGTTGTAAAAAAAGTAGGAAACTTGCATTTATGACTATGATTTGTTTGATTTGTTTATTTGATCCCCTAGGCATGAGTGAGCTGCAGTACCTGTTTGCTGAGTGTGACAGTGGTGTTGATGCTGACCAGGTGATGCTGACTGTTTGCTGGAGTACTGCCATCTGCGGTGGTGTCAGAGCATCTCCTGACTCTACACCAATCTGCATTCATGCACAGGAAGACATACGTCTCGTATCTTCCATATTCAAGCTCTCATCACTCTGAGGTGAGAATCAATGCTCCATGTCCCTGTTCAACCTAATTCTCTGTCACAGATTGTGTTAACTAGATCTCCAAGCACACAAAATCTATCACAAATACGTGTAAACCTCTTCCACAATGGGACTCACAGTGTATGCTCCTTATCTTTCTTAGCTTTTTAACACAGATTTTCCAGAAATGGGGAACTCTACTCAGTCCATCTGAGTCCATTCCCATGGAAACTCCTGACAGTATTTCTACTCAGCATATTATTCCTTTCTGCATGATGCCTGTAATTAATATAGCTTTTATTGTTGCTGTGCCCTTTTTCAGGCTCCTACATCTCACATGCTTTATTTTACTATATATTTTACTAGATATTTTACTAATGATCAAGGGAAAACAAGTGCTTGTAGTCTATACTCACATTATCATGTGACAGTGGCACTGTGTGAACTGGAATCGGCTGCCAAAGGATTCTGGGGTTCCAAATGTGTCCCTGTGTTGGTGGATACAGCCCAGCAAGAGTTGCCTGAGCACTCATAAGCGTTTGATCACAGTCAGTGCTCTGAACATAAATCTGAAGGAAGAAAGGAATTTTATTTATTTATTTATTTAAGGTAATCTCTCCTGTTAAGTCTCTTCTCTGGATAGAAAAGAAGGGATCTAGTACTGTGCTGAGTAAATTGGCACAGTAAATTAAAACAGAGTGAGGTAAAGAAAGAAAGAGGGGAGAAAGAAAGAAGCTGAAACAGAGCCTTGGAATAAAACCTGGATGGACAAGAGAGTGGCAGCTGCTTCCTTAGGAGTCCTACTGAAAAACATAGGGCTACCTTCATTTGATCAAACAAATTAGGACATCATGGATGCACTGAGCAACTGGAAATGAAAACTAAGCTCTGTCTGCACTGTAAATGGAAAAGTGTAGTTTGAAATCTCCAGCACAGATGACAGATACTCTGTCATACAACAGTGAGGTATCTGAGCCTCATATACAGCCTTAAAAACCTTGTGCACAGTTTTCGGCTCACTCAAAATTGAGCCACATAGGGATGTGTATCCCTATGTGCAAAGTATTCAGGGATACTTTGAATACTCAGTTTTGGATACTCAGTTCAGTAGGTTACCTCCAAATGTACCAAGTTCAGATTCTCACAGATCCAAGAAGTTCTATCAACATCTTTAGAAACATCCTCCCTTCCAGATCCAGTACTTGCCTCAGACCGTTTGTAAACAACGCTCAGGAAATAGGAATATCTTCTCCGCATGAACTGTCCAAGCTCATACTGTTGCTGTATGCCAAACTGTAGAAATAACAGAATAGTGTGAGAGCCTCAAGAAGTGCTCTGTGCATCTATTCCTACAAACCAAAAATTATAAAAAGTTTCATAAAATGTTTCATTTGTAAAGGGAAGATGGAAAGAAAGGAGAAAAATGGAGTAAAGTGGCAGTACTGGAATTTCAGCTTTATTATTTTCTTATATGCAATGTGAAATGTTCACTACAGGAACATAGTCTCATTAATACTAATTTTCTTTAGCCATGAGGAAAAAAAAGTAGAGAAAAGATGTTTGCACTCAATCTAGATTGCATGCAAATGAACGTCATCACTCTCTGTCTCTGAAACTCACATCTTAATAAGTGAAATTCAGCTCTCAATGGACAAAAAATCAGAATCTCCTGTGCATCTAGCTATAGTTTAGGTAGATGCAGCATTCTGCAAAGGGACTCAATAAAGAAATACCATATCTGTAAGAAATCCTAATGCATCTATTGTAGGCAAAGGATTGCATTTATTATCCTAGAAAGCCTGAATTCTTGCTGAGTGAATTCTAAAGACGGTAAGGGTTTAGAGCACTTCATTACAGAGGCATGGGAGTTCACATTATTTGAAAGAGATTATAAAGGAAAATGCAGTATTTATCCTAAAATACATGTATATAAAGTAGCCAGGAGTGAACTGGAAATTGAAAGGACCATCTGAGCTAAAGTTTGAGAACAACCTTTCAGTGACAGCAATGGAAGCAAAAATACCTGAGCAGTTCAAAGGCAGATCTTGCTAAACATATGAACCCGGATTGTATGATGTGGCTTTTTGCCATGGCAAAGGCCTGGATTTGATTACTTAAAAGGTTCTTCTTATTTCTGTGCTATAAGAATTACCAAAAAGAAGCTACTAATTAATTTGGTGAATGCCATCTGCACAATAGGCTTCACCATAAAGGTCATCTCTATATTCGCCCATAACGGACAAGCTACGTCTTCCTGACGGATGCAGTTTTGCATTTTGCTTTTCCGAAAGCCATGTGGTTGTTTATCCAAACTAACAAGGTTAACAGGGGAAGGGTTACTTAAAGTAGCTATAGACGTGTCCTAACAAAGCTGTCTGGTTTCTGCTCAGTTCCTGGCTCGCAGCAATAGGGTGCAGACACAGCAACTATCTGACTATGAAGGCAGGTCTGGGATATGAATGCCACAGAGAATCTCCAGAGATTCCACACGGAAGCTACATTTTTGGCTTGTGCAAGATCTTCCCCTCCAGAAAGACTGAAAATTTTGAATAGAAGACTGAGTCCTACATGCCCCTGGGTATTTTGGTGCCATGTTAATTGTTAACTACAGTCTAAAGCTCTTGATTCTTGGTTCTAGCCTGAATATGTCTCCAGCTTTCAACTACTGGATCTTGCAACCTTTTTCAAGGGCATGTTCTCTGCCATCACAAATCTTATTTTCCGTAAGATGATCACCAATAAAATTGAATCAATTATTTAATCTCTGTGTTAAATGAGATAGATGGCAGTTCTCTCACAACAAAACAAGTTTTCTAGCATATGAATCTTTGTAGCTCTTTAATGAACATTTTCCAGATTACTATTATCATTTTGTGAAATCATGACGTGAAAATCACGTGCAGTGTCCCTGTAATGGTCTCATGATTGTGATCTTTTTACTTGTACCTGGTGTTTCCTAGCCTAAATGGAAGTATATTCAACTTTGCTCACGTAACCATTACTTTGCACTGGGATCTCAAGTATGGTGATTATTCACCACTTCACAGTCCTCTTCTGAGTCATAAGATCACAGGGTAATTCAGGTTGAAAGGGACTTGAGGAAGCCCCTGATTGGACCTCCTGCACAGAGCAGTCAGAGGTCAGACCAGGTTACTGACGGCTTTATCCAGCGTACCAGGCATGGTCCGTGCCTTGTATATGTGATTGCCTCTTCCAGTTGCTGGAATTGTGCATCCAAAGTTTCCTAGGGTATATGCTCATCTTAAGCTTCTGCCTCAGCTTGTCTAATATGTGTTGCTAAACCCCAGTGCCTGGGTCTTAAAGCCTCCCAGAGCTTACGAAGCCTGAAGCATGCTGGCATGTTGTGCTGAACTTGCATTACGTACATATGAAGTGCTTGAGTCATAGCTGAGTTAATGCATAGGAAGCTGGTCCTAACCACCTTTGAAACATTCTTTGTTGCTTTCTGCTTTTGAACAAGCTTTGCTGCTTCAGCTCTTACTCCTTTTTCTTCGAGGGAGATGGTGTGAGAGGAAAACAGGCCTGACCTCGCCTCAGAGGTTGCTATGTCCTTCTGAGAATGGAATGGAGGAGGAGCCCCACGTGCAGTTTGCTCTGTCCTGACTTTGTTGGAGACCTGGCCAGTGACAAGTTCTTCCAGAGAAACATGCTCATTGTGCTGGACCTGCTGGTATCCACAAACTGCTGAGCAAACTTACTGTGCAGACACCTCTCAGAGGCACGCACTCAGCCTGCAAACATAGCTCACAGTCTGTGAACATACACACAATAGCTGTTTTTTTCTGGTCCTTTCAGCTTTTGGCACCTCAAAACCTCTTCAGTGAGGCTGCCTGGTTTCCAAATCCTGGACAAATGACTCGGGCATTTTTCCATGTAAATGGCATATCTTGGCAGGAAAGGAATGGAAGCGCAGACACAGTAGAAAATGTTGGTGGGAGCAGAGCAGACATAGGGAAACCCCTCTGGTGTCCCTGTATTCCTTCGAAGCCTAATGGCACAGGAGCTCACCCTTTGTACCATTTACAAGAAAAGGCATCTAATACTAATAACAGTTAATGGAGAAACACAGTTTCTGCAGCTGAGATCTGCCGTTGCTTGATTTGCTGCCAGTTAAGACCATCAGCTGATACTGGTATACTAGCTCAATTCCACTTATTGATCCCACTAACACCTAAACCAGCTGAGCTTTAAATCAACTTTCCCTCGCACAGGATGAGAGACATTTTTGCTAATACTGACCTTAATAGTTCACAAGCTAGGAAGAATTTATATCCATCAGGAATTGAAGGTGGTTGTGAGCACTTTCACCACCTTGGGTTAAAACTGTGTGTTCGATCTCAGGTGAATTGCCAGTAGACCCCAGTCTGCAATCAGACAACTCAGCATGCCCTGGGGTTGGACCAGAACAGCCAACTCAGTGTCTTTGAAATCAGTGACTAATCACAGCTTCCCAGTACGTTCTATTTACAAGAGATCTGCATGTGGCAACTTAACAGGAACTGTATCGAAGTTAAAACAAAGTGCTAAAAAACAAATATATTTCTGTATGTCAACAAACACACCTTGGTAAGCTGTCCATATCCATGCTGCCTTGCAATTTCTTTGTGCTTGTCAGTTGGGAAAAACTCCTGTGGGGTATGATCGCCATGGTGAAACACCTGACAAAACAGATGGAATTCCCTTCATATTACAGGTCTATTAATGGTGGGTGTAATAGTGCAGACGCAACAGTTGTGCCATGACAGTGAATACTGTACTAACACATACTGAACGTATTCACTGTACTTATCTGTGCTTTAGATAGTAGTGGTAGGTACTGTCTAGTAGGTACTGTCTGGGTCTACAGTACCTGCTTGGTTTATTTAGACAGGTGTAACTCCTCTTTTTTAGTTTGCAAGTTATAAAAAATTATAATTTTTTAATATATTTTAGAGACGTTTTATGTATGTTAGGAGGTACAGACTACAGCATTGACAGAGAGAAAACAAACATGTAAATAATTTTCTGGGAATATTAGGACATTAACATTGTGTTGGGACTGAGAGCTCAGAAGAAAGAAAAATAAACTGCTACTGGAGATACAGTTTCTGTGGCAGAGTGCTGCTAAGCACTCTATTTTGGCAGAAATTAGCCCTAAAAAGCCATGTGCTGTCTTTTACACCAGAAAAGGTAAAGAAAGTGTCATTTATCATCTGAATGCGGGCTGAACTGTTACTTTGAAAACACTGAACACGTTCTGAAATTTCCCTTCATACAAAAGATACATCTGTGAAGGTACATCAAAATTTTTCATTCCTGTGATGGATTCTCCCCTTGTCCAACATTATTCTTGTACGTATATGTTGTATCATCCTAAGATTTTACCACCAGATTTTTTTTTATTTATTCATCCAAGCAGGGGAAATTAATTGAAAACTATAGGAAAAAAATGTACTGATAATTTATATTGCCTGTGCGATACTCAGAGCAGACCTCAGTCAGGCTTCATGCAAATCATGTACATCATAGTCACTGCAAGTAGCTTTCATTTTACAGCAGTGTTTCTCTGTTGTGTATTCAGTACCATTGTATGCTTGTCTGGCTTTCACACAGTGAAATCTGATTTGCTTGTTAATGCAGTGAAAACAGAGGAAGAGTAAAAATTCTTCCATGGCAAAGAGTATTTTTGAAATCCATAGAAATTTAGTTATGAAATCCCATTTTATATTTTAAAAATACTGCTGTGCAACTCCTCTCTTATTGCTAGATAGAAAAAGACATGCCATTGTTCCAGAAGGTTACTTTCATCCAGGACTGCACAAAAGAGATAACATTATAAAATGTTATTTATAATTGGGGATTGTTCTTTGTGCAATGCAATAGTGGATTCTGAGTATGCAGTAAACATTTTGGTATTCACATATTCACAAATATCCCTCCCCCTACACACACACACACTCCAGACCACAAAAAGAGTGACAGGTTTTTAAGTCCATTTGTCCATGAACTACATACTTACTACGGACACGAACTTCAGTTTTCTTTTTGCTGTGGTTTGGTGAAGAAAGATGCAGAAGAGGCAGAACGTGAAACACAGACTCCAAATTCCGCACACCAGCTGCCTTGATCTCATGCTGAGGGTTGGTAGCTTCCAGGTGTTTTGCACACCAAGGAAGGCCCCTGGCTGGACGTGGTGCTACAGTAGATATGTGGCTGAGGGGGGAGGAGTTGGCTGTGCTTGATGGAGTCTGAAACTGTGATCTCCCTTCCTCCTCCCTTTTCTCCCTTCTTGGGTCAGTGTTGTTCTGCAAATTCATACAATGAAAATTGTATTTTGCACTTGCACTCAATTTCTGAATCCTGCGTGTAGCGGGACAAGTAGTCTCTGAGCCTGCCAGTTCCTGCACCAGGCACTCAAGACGTAGGTGAATGTAAAGAACTAGATGTTCCATCTATTGTTTAAGCTATGATTTAGTATCAGTCAGCCTTCACAAAAGTGAAAATGATGCAGATATGCTGTATCTTGCTATAACGTGCTCACACAGTCTTATTTGAACAGTTTGTGAGAGGGAGTGGTGCTGACAACTGTTCTTTTTTGAGGGGTCTCTGGAGTTTCCCTTACATTTGGCCGTGGTTTTTAGCAGGAATCGAAAACAGAATGTTTTGTTACATGTGAACAAGGATCAGAGGTAACTGCCTAAACTGACTGCAAAAAATAAAGATGTGTCCAGAATCATAGAACTATAGAATCATTAAGCCTGGAAAAGACCACTAAGAGCGCCTAGTCCAACTATCAGCCCACATCTCACACCCACTGACCACATCCCTCAGTGCCACATCCACACAGTTCTTGAACATCTTGGGGATGGTGACTGCACCACCTCCCTGGGCAGCCTGGACAACCACTGCCTCACTGCTCTTACTGAAAAGAGATTTTTCCTAATATCCAACCTGAATGTTCCATCTCTGTAGTCTATCTATATGATTCTAGTGGCAAAGGGGTGCCACTGTTTTCTAAAGCTATCCTTTAAAATTCCATGCAGTTAAGTACATTTCTGATTTTCAAATATCTCTTGCTGCAAATACTCTCATTGTTGCATCATGCACAAGTCAATTGTTTCTGTCATTTCTCCTGTACATTTTAAATAAAGAGGGATGCCTGGAGGGGTCAGTTCTCTTTCCTAAAGTAGCAGTGCCTCTTCTCTCATGTGTCAGAGCCGAAGAGATTTCTCAGTGATATATTCAGAGGTCAGATTGTATTGGTTCATTTGTCACTTCTGCTTTTGTGCCTGAGAAGGCTGACCTACTCCTGCAGAAATAGAATACTGGGAGTTGCCCGCATTTGTTGAGAAGGAGAACTTTATTTTTTTATTTTTTAAAATGAAGGATTTTAAAATGAAGGTGCAATTACTCTTGGAGATGACAAAATAGTAGTGTAAAAATGTATATTTGATTCCTTTGATCTAATCCTGGCACTACTAATTCTGTGGGAATTAGCATACATAAAAAGTTGTTTTTAAGTACAGCACCTCAGGGCAAATCTGTTCCTGCTGAAGGTCACAGGAGTGGAATGAAACTGTGCTACACCACTTATTGTGATTCCTGTGAGTGAAACTCTAGAGGGAGCAAGAGGTGGACCTTTCTTGGCAGCTAACTCTCACCTGTACAAGTCCCTGTTGTAGCTGGTGAGAGATGTAAAAGCTGCAGCTGCATTCAAAGACAAGATAACAGATTCTTTAGTATGCTTGCAGCCAGAGTTAAAGCATCAAGGGAAGGTGGAAGAGGAGGAGATAATTATAAAAGTAATAAATGAATCTCCCTGACTATCCTGAAAGTGCAAAGGAAAATATATCAGGTGTAGATTATATGCTCCTGTCTTACCTATGAACTTGGCAAAGTGTTTATCAGATCATGTTAAACATAATGTTATTAAAGTAAAAATACAACTTTCTGTTGTGTGATGTACTATGGTATCTAAAAAGTCAGTGTGTTAAGTTATCCTTCCAAAACTTGGACATTGTTTAGGGAGTACAAGATTTCATTAATGATCCTTCAGTGTTCCAAAGTAGATTCACAGTTTGAGTGCTATTGTTTTTAAAAACTTTTATCCAAATGATAAAATTTGCCTCCTACCCCAAGCTGCAATGTAAAGAGTATTCAGGTAGATGTGATGCTTGTTCCCTTCCACCATCTTTTGTTAAATGCAAGGTTGATGAATCTGTTTGGTTTTTAAATATAGTGGAGGATTGGATTTGCATCTTGACATGCAGCTTCTTCATTAGCAGTGGAGGAGAATCAGAATTACTTAAAGATATGCCCACAAGCATGCTAGGAGAAGGCTCACGTGTGAAATTAATGGGGGTAGAAGGAGGCATGTATAGAAAGACTCCAGTCTTCCCATCCTGCCTCCTCTCCCTCCTCCCTGCAGGTTTCCCTAGTAGGATACTTGCTCAAGCATCTGATGTTGAAATCATGACTCTGTGGTTTCTAAAGCATTGAATTCTGTTGCCACCTCCATGCCTTTTCTGTGTCTTCTCTCCCCAGCCCCACTCAGGTCAGGGTGGTATCTGTCCCTCAGCAGAGTTCAGTGTAAGGATGTTTCCTCTGGCTTATAGCACTCCTGTTCATCTCTTGCTTGCACACTGTGAATAAACAATAAAGAACAGTGAGGTTATCATTCATGCAGCTGCAATGGTAGCTTGAACAAAAGGGTTCCAACTCCAAATCATTTTCTTAGTATCCAAATAGATAGGTATCAACTGCCTCTGTTTGGCTAATGCTTAACACTGACTTCTTTCATCCTGTATGTTAAGAGAACAAAGGTAAGTTGTGTCACCACGCCTGTTTCACCAGGACACATTATATATCACCTCAAAAAGAATTCTGCCCTAATCAGATATACACTTTCTGTTAATGATTTCAGTGCTGGCATGCAGTATTGTCTCAATCCATTCTACAGCTGGGTAAGAGACACATTCACCTTCCCCAAGGAGGTGAATCGAATCTTGTCAGCAGCATGAGCACAACAGAACATCTGCAGACTACAAATAAAGAAATCTGCAATATTAACAGCAGCTTCAGCTCCAGAGAGCTCTCAATGATGTTCTTGCTGCTGTTGGCAGGAGCCATCACTTTCCTTCAGTAGCAATAGAAAACAAGAGAGAAAGAAGTTGGTGTTGAGGCTTGTAAGCAGTGAGGCTGCGGTCTTTCTTAAGGCAGTAAGCCTTCCCTGGTTGGACCCAAAGCTACACTCCTGACATCAATCTGTGATGTGTTTTTTGCACAACAATCAGCTTCTTCACTGTTACACTGATAGAAATACAGAGTAGCTACACAGAAGCTGATGGACTTATTTCACATGTATTTCCCTGAAAGCTTACACTGCTCTTCTTCTGCTGATGTTCTCCTCAGCACAGTCTGATCTACATTTTGTAGATGTGTTTGGGATATGTGCATCTGCTGCTCCAGATCCTTGCTCAGTATGATTTTGATTAGCTCTTTATCTTTGATAGAGTTACACCGGCTTACAGGAGCTTCAAAGTAAAAGAAAAAGAGGGACATTAAAATTCATTTCCTCCAGCTGTTCTGATGAAAAAGCACTAGAACAAAAATAAATAAATGAATAAATAAATAAAATTCTTTGTATCCACGCAGAAAGAGATCAAATTCCAGATACCATCTTCATCTGGAGTTCTGCTGCATTGTAAAGCCTCTTCCTTTCAAATGTGAGCACTTCATCTCCAGTTTTGTGTGATTCACCTTTGTCATGACAAAGTATATGACTCAAGAGGAGCAAAGCTGTTGTGGGGGATTTGCAGATTAGGATGCAGCTTAGTAGTTGTGCCTTAGCAGATGATGACTGTAACTTCAGAATTAAGCTGACATTAGTCCACTACTTTACAGTGGTGTTTATTTTGGCCTCAGGTCACCATTGAAACACAAGCTGAATTTTGTGCAGTGTAAATGCCATTGGTTTTTTTTGTTTGTTTGTTTTTTGGTTTTTTTTTTCCTTTTTTTTCCCCTCACAAATTGCGTGAATATATTCAAGCACCTTTATTGGGCTGGATCACACAACCAGACTAGCAGTGCAGGAAAGAAGTAAGATTTTTAGCAAATTTCTAGGATACAAAGGTCTTTATACTGCTAACATTATCTAGACTTACCGATGCCTTGTATGAGACTGATGGCTTCATGCTGAATTGAATACTGAAGGAAGAGAAGAACAGTTTCTTTCAGATAGCCATCATCATACCTGTCTGTCTTGTACTAAGGCCAGAAGTGTTTCCATCCAGGTGCTGACATAAGTCCAAACAGCAATCTCACTGTGTGTAATCAAGCATCAAGCTTTTGTCCTTGTATACCTTGGAATACTCGGGGGGGTAGCGCGCCGCCGGGGGGGGGCGAGGGGCTGGGTTCCTGCTTTCTTTAATTTTTAATAATTATGTTTAACTTTGAGGTAGAATACAATAACTGTGATTAAAGCAATTGTTCTGCTCAGCTGGAATGATTTCTGTTCGTGCCCTAGCACAATGCTGCAAGATTTGAAATGCAAATACAGGGAAGGGAAGATATGTTCTTTCAATAATGTGTTTTTTTAGATTTCCATTGAAATAAAACAAAAATAATTTTATAAAAAACAAAGCTGAGGTAAAATGCAAACTAGAATTTTTTTAGGTTTTGCACCTTGCTGGTGATGAGTGCGGTCTACTTACAACAATAGTTTCAATTTTTAAATTCTGAATTAGAAGTGAAGAATTAGTAAATTACTTTTTGGCTTCAAAGCTAATATTTCATCCTTCCTGCTTATTCTGTTTCCATATTATTCTCTTTCTTCGGTCTCTGTGGACTCTCGTTAAATTTTGCATTTTAACTTGTGTTCATCATAACCAGTGGAACACTCTATGCTAAGATACAAGTGTACTTTAATGACACATCTCAAATCTGTTTTGGTCGGGTGTTTTCTTGAAGGAGTAGTGTTTGATTTAAATATTGACACAAACTTTTTCTGAGTGAATCTATCAGAACAGTGGCAATGGAAGGCTGTTGTTTTTATGTCAGTGCACGTGGCCATTAGTACTAGGCAGGCTGCATTGTGGTACCACTTTGAAGTTATGCTTGGCATTTCTAGTGTGACTTTTGTCAGTGACATTTTCATTGACTTGTCAGTAAGGTTGTTAATATATATATATATATGTATTTGCTGAAAGTCACAGTTTATCTCATTTTAGATCAAAATAGAATAAGTACTGAATTTTAGAGAGATAGGTACTGAGACATTTTGGAGAGAGAATTGTTTAATTTGGAAGCAATATTGAGCTGCTTCTGTCAGATTCCTTGATCTGCTCTATAAAGTTAATTAAAAAGACTTTCCATCTTCTTGCATATTATATTGCAATATTGTCCATGTTTGTCTTCACACAGGCATCTGTAGAAAGCACAAACCATGAAAGTGCATTCTACAAAAATGTGGAACAAGCTTCCTATAGGGCAATGAACAGACAGTAATGAAGGTAATCAGTTGTTTTGTTTTGGAATCTGCTACTTACTGAGATACTGGCAAGGACGTGGGTGGGTGAGTGAGTGGTAACAGCTTCAATGACTCATTTTTGCAGGAAAAGAAGAGACAGTGACTTGAGGTCATGTGGAGTTAGCCAACACCTCTGTGAGCTGCTTCCACTGCTGAGAAACCAAGCTACCAATTAGTATAAATTAGTGCTATCAATTAGTAGCTTAGTTGATACAGGCGGATTTAGTTTTATGAAGTGTGGATTTGAAAGTTTGACTAATAACATGTTGGGCCTTCCAAGGACCTGGGGAAGGCGCTGGCTGCAGGTGAGCCAGCCAAAGTGCGTGGTTAACTGCAGTTATACAGGCTGTTCTACCTGCATAACTGACTTGGTCCTCAGTGAAGGCTACATTCTCAAATATGAACGCTAAATGAAGAAGCAACATGAATGCTTCAGGTAAACAAACAAAAAGCTATTGAAAGGAGTCTTGATTTTAACAGGTAAGTGATGAAGTTCATGTTTTGATTCCATAGATGCAAGGTGACAGCCCACAAAAACAAGCTCTGTTGCGATTTTTATTTCACCAGGCTGGACAGAATTCAAGAAGGTTCGTCATGTGCTTCTTCACTTTACACAGTGACTAGTCAATAATTCATTGCATCCTTTCAGTTAAGCTGTGAATCTTCTCTGTTTTGTTAGCTCTGGATCACAGTAGTATTTTACCTTAACTGAAGGTATGAGATAGGAAAAAAAAAAAACAGTACAAAAGAATGTTTTATTTTAGTGCAAACCAAATAAAAACTGTATACCTAAACCCACACAAGAACCAAGCAGTAGTACAGAAGTTGGAAAAATGTTTGCATATATCTGTAGACATCTCAGAGAATTATTTTGCAAAGGTATATTGCCATCTAGTGCTAAAATTTCCTCTATTCATCGTACTGTGTGCTTGTGTATTTGCAGTAGATTCCTGACTGACACTTTCATGAGAATCATCAGATTCACTTCTACTGTCAGGGCTGCTGGCATTGTAAATTTACTCTCCAGAAAGGGAGTTTGCCAAAGTTGCTGCTCTGTACTTTTTTAAGCACTGAGAGGAAGAGTTAAAACAAAACATAATTGCTTAATGTACCTGTAGCATTAGCCCTAAGATAACAACATCTTCATAGAGATGTTAGAGATTAATTTTACAAGCAGAATTTGGGCACCACAGTCAAGCTGATGTGGCTGCTTCTCTTCCTTTTTACACACAGGTTTTTGTTCATTTGTTTGTGTTCTGTGCATGTAGTTTCTTTGGTTTTGGTATACAGATATTTTCTTCTTTTCTACACATCTCATTTCTGAGTTTTACTTAGTATGACACAGAAGTTGTGTATTTTTTTTTTTCTATGGCATTCAAAGATGATAACACTTTCAAATCTCACTTACCACAACTTCTCTTTAACTTTGAACTTACATAGCAGTGAATTCCACATAGTGAACTGGAATTCTGTAAGATGTCTGGCAATGCTTCCTCTTAGAAAGGCTTTTGGAACTTTGCACTCTTTCATGCCTTGTGTTGTGGCTGCATGAAACTTTGCCATAGTTTAGCTGTCGAAGCTAGAATTTCCTGAGGCTTGGTTAGGAATACAGGTTTTGACCAGCTGGGGGCTGAAAATGAAAAGGGAGAAATTTATTGTATACTTCATTATTTGTTAACCCTGGAAGCTAAAAGCAAAATCATACACATTTAGGGAATAGATAAAACTCAGTATAACTTAACTATTGTCTCAGTTTCCCACTTGTTCTTTTTTTTTTTTTTTTTTTTGATCAAGAAGCATTTGTTGATTATTGGAATGGTCATTTCTGGCAGATTTCATTACTCTTTCTTTGCCTTCTTCCAGTAATGTCGGTAACATAATTACTTTCGAGATATTTATTTTTAACTTGATTGTCACCCTGTGTAGCAAAAAGTATCTGAACCTGCCACCTGCTGTTCAAGGTTTAGTTTCCTGGAAATGGTATTTCATGACATACTGGGAGGCTTAGTGTGGCTTGAGCCATCTCTAAACTCTTAATAATATTCTGTTGGAAACCTTAGAAGTATCTTAGAAGTCACTGTATTACAGGTGCCTCATTTTGATAATGGCATTGTGTTTTGGGGATTTAGGGAAAATTGCAAGTGAATGCAATTTGGGGAATGGTTTCCCTTTGGGAAAAAGGAGAAGGCAGAGATCCCATTGGCAGACATCAGAATGCACTTCTAATCGATTGCCATTCTTCTCCAGAACTGTGAGACAGGTGCAGTGTTCTGATCTGTATTTTGTAAAGCCTCTGGAATTATTTATAAGTGACACTACTATGGCGTTAAATCAGCAGAATTTTGCATGAAGTTAATACTGCTGTTGCAGTGCAATATCAAAGCATTTTGACTTGGCTCTTTTCTCCATTGGATAACTGAATTTTCCTTCTCTTTTCTTTAAACTGCAGGCAAATATTATTGCTTCTTCTCTGAGCAATCCCTGAAAATACTTCCATCTTTTTTTTTTGGGGGGGGAGAGAGGGTTGATGAGGGGGTCTGTTTTCTCATCTGTCCTACTGACTATCAGTCAACCTTCGTAGAGAACAAGAAGCTCTGAGTTGAGGCACATGAATACTGAAGGACTGTTTTGTCTTGGGGAGTTACACACATAGTAGTTAAAGAGCGGAACATTTTTTCTTTGAGTATTGAATCAGAATTCTCCCAGGGGTGACCTGAAAAGAAGCTGCAATGTCAGTTTACTCATACTATATACATTTGTAGAGAATAAACCTGCTCTAGTATCTTCTTATCTCTTGGAGACATAAAACAGAAGAACCTGTGTAGAAGAACCTGACTTCTTATTCATGGGGTTCCACAATAATTAAAAGGTGCAACTCCCTAAAATGTGAAGTAAAAGCTTTTTTAATGTTTAGTGTATAGTATACGATCTTGTTCTTGTAGTCTGGTTAGATGTACTGAGTATCTGCTAAAATGAATCACCATGAGCTGGTGACTTTAGACTGTGACCTCTTAAGCGATGGCATTTTAAACAAGGCATCTTAAGCCACCTCCAGTATGAGACCTGTTTGTTTACGCACAGAGAGATAAGATCACATAGCAGAAGAGATTTATTTATAAGCATATTACAAAGAATGTGTGTTGTTTTTTTCCCCCTGCTTAAAGATGTACTAGATCAGAAAGATGCAAAAGAAGTGAAGAAAATATCAGGCACTGCTCACGAACGTTGGCATGTCTTTGAATAAGCAGGACAAAAATTGTGTTCTTGGCACAAAATCTCCTGGTTTCCACCTGTTCATAATGCTTCATAAGATCCTGCTTCAGGAGTGGGCAGGCATTGGAACAGGCTGGCCAGGGAAGCAGTGGGGTCCCTGTCTCTATCTCTGCAGGTATTTAACTCAGAATGTGGCACTTAAGGACATGGTTCAGTGGTGGGCTTATAGTGTTAGATGATGATGGCTGGTCTTGATGATCTTATGAATCTTTTCCAAACTGCACAGTTCTGTGATTCTGTAATACCTAACCACTCAACTCTAAGACTCAAATGCTATGTCTGGATGTATAGAGGAATGTGGGAGAGCTGTGACATCCCATAGCTCTGATCAGAATAACAAGAAAATATTACTGAGCTTTTACTCTTTGAAACAAAATGACTGCACAGGGAATATCTCTTGGAGGAATGTAAAGTCTGACTTGCAGCTCTGACAAGACAGTTGTTTGTTTTACTGCCATCAGCTTCC